GGGGACAGGGTCAACGGCAGCAGCAGTCCTGGGAGAAGCATGTTGTTGCCAATAGTCCTACCAGAGAGCCTGTAGACTTCAGGACTGGGTCACCTCAGATCAAATAACTAACAGGGAGGAAACACTGACCCACCCATCAGCAGATAAATGGATTAAAGATGTATTAAGCATGGCCCTGCCCACCAGAGCAAGCCAGTCCCTCTCATCAAGAAGCTTAAACAAGCCTCTTATCCTCATCCATCAGAGGGTAGACAGAAGAAGCAAGAACTACAATTTCACCACCTCCAGAACAAAAATCACAATTACAGAAAGCTAACCAAAATGATCACTTGGACCATAGCTGTGTGTAACTCAATGAACCTATGAGCCTTGCCCTGCAGGGTCATCCAAGATGGACAGGTCATGGTGGAGAATTCTGACAAAATGTCGTCCACTGGAGATGGGAATGGCAAACCACTTCAGTAATTCTTGTATTGAAAACCCAATGAACAGTATAAAAAGGCAGAAAGATATGACACCAGAAGATGAGACCTGCAGGATGGAAGGTGTCCACTACGTTACTGGGGAAGACTGGAGAAATAGCTCCAGAAAGAATGAAGTGACTGGCCCAAAGTAGAAACTATGCTCAGTTGTGGATGTATCTGGTGGTGAAAGTAGAGTCTGATGCAGTAAAGAAGAACATTGCATAGGAACTTGGAATGTTAGGTCCATGAATCATGGTAAATTAGACATGGTTAAGAAGATGACAACAGTGAACATCAACAGTTTAGGAATCAGTGAACTAAAGAGGACAGGATTGGATGAATTTAACTCAGACTATCATTATATCATTCATTATATCTACTACTGTGGGCAAGAATCCCTCAGAAGAAATGGAGTATCCCTCATAGTTAAAAAAGAATCTGAAATTCAGTTCTTAGGTGCAGTCACAAAAATGATAGAATGATCTCAATTCAATTCCAGGGCAAACCATTCAACATCAGAGTAATCCTCAACCTCTAATGCCCAAGAAGCTGAAGTCAAATGGTGCTATGAAGATCTATAAGACCTTCTAGAACTATACCAAAAAAGATGTCCTTGGAATGCAAAAATAGGAAGTCAAGGGATACCTGGAAGAACAGGCAAGTTTGGACTTGGAGTACAAAATGAAAGGGCAAAGGCTAACAGTTTTGTCAAGAAAACACACTGTTCACAGCAAACTACCTCCTCCAATAACATAAGAGATGCTCTACATATGGACATCACCAGATGGCCAATACTGAAATGGATTGATTAAAATCTTTGCAGCCAAAGATGGATAAGCTCTATACAGTCAGCAAAATAGATATAAGCTGACTATGGCTCAGATCATGAGCTCGCTATTGCAAAATTCAGGCTTAAACGAAGGAAGAAGAGAAAAATACTAGGCCATTCAGGTTATGACTTAAATCAAATACCTTATGATTATACAGTGGAGGTGACAAATAGATTCAAAGGATTTGATGCAGTAGACAGAGTACCTGAAAACTATGGATGGAGGTTCATAATACAATACAGGAGGTGGTGACCAAAACCATCCCCAAGTAAAAGAAATGAAAGAAGGCAAAGTGGTTGTCTGAGAAGGCTTTACAAATAGCTGAGAAAATAAGAGAGGTGAAAAGCAAAGGAGAAAGGGAAAGATATACTCATCTGAATGCAGAGTTTTAAAGAATTGCAAGGAGAGGAAAAAAAGCCTTCTTAAGTGAACAATGCAAAGAAATAGAGGAAAACAATAGAATGGGAAAGACTAGTGATCTCTTCAATGACATTAGAGATACCAAGGGAACATTTCATGCAAAATGGGTATTATAAAGATCAGAAATGGCAAAGACCTAACATGGAACAATGGACTGGTTCACAATTGGGAAAGGAGTATGTCAAGGCTGTATATTGTCATCTGCTTACTTAACTTACAAGCAGAGTACATCATAAAAAATGCCAGATTGGATAAAGCACAAGCTGGAATCAATATTGCCAGGAGAAATATCAATACCCTCAGATATGCAGATGAAACCACCCTTATGGCAGAAAGCAAAGAAGAACTAAAGAGTCTCTTGATGAAGGTGAAAGAGGAGAGTGAAAAAGTTGGCTTAAAGCTCAACATTCAGAAAACTTAGATCATGGCCAATACTTTGGCCACCTTATGGGAAGAGTTGACTCATTGGAAAAGACTCTGATGCTGGGAGGGATTGGGGGAAGGAGGAGAAGGGGACGACAGAAGATGAGATGGTTGGATGGCATCACTGACTCGACAGGCATGAGTTTGAATAAACTCCGAGAGTTGGTGATGGACAGGGATGCCTGGTGTGCTGCGATTCATGGGGTCGCAAAGAGTCGGACACGACTGAGCGACTGAACTGAACTGATATATGTAGAGATATATATCTCTATCTCAAGTCCATGTTGGATGGAATTGGAAATTGATGAATGTTTGATCTTCTGACACTCTAGCAAAATGCAGACTGTAAAGTATCATAAAATTGTTAAAATTTTTTGAGCTATTAGATTGTTCAAAATTAAAAGCAAGCAATGTTCTGGCTTTCCTGGTGGCTCAATTGGTAAAGAATCTGTATGCAATGCAGGAGGCCCAGGTTCAGTTCCTGGGTTGTGGAGATTCCCTGGAGAAGGGAATGGCAGCCCACTTCAGTACCCTTGCCTGGGTAATTCATGGACAGAGGAGCCTGGCATGCTGTAGTCCATGGGGTCGCAAAGAGTCAGGCATGACTGAGCAGCTAAGCAGACACACCATGTTTCAGAAGATTTGTTTCATAATACCATTGACAATGTAAAAATTACCTTGCTGATTTATATTATTAAGTTTTATTCCACAATTTCAATAATTATTTTTTTCTAAATTTTTGTTATTCTATCAAATAAGATCTGAAGCATAATCATAACCTTCTCAGATAATCACTATAATGAGTCAGTTTCCTTTCTTTCAATTCTGTTTCTTTACAACCCTATTTATTTTGGTCAAAATTGTATCATATGAAACTACTTTATTATATGAAATGGAAAAGGCCAGAGAGAGTCATCTATAATTCTTCATTAGTCAGTGACTGCTTCTTTAAGCTTCTTTTAAAATGTCAAAGTTATATGGAAGTGAGACAATGCTTTTGCTTTCTTCCATGAAATTTGAATAATGCTAAAAAAATAATGGCATAACTTAATACAGCTATAATTTTATACAGCTACATAATTTAATGCAGTGGTATCTACAAGGTGAACTAATCCAATTAAAAGGACTGTTTAAGAAAAAAACAACAACTTCAAAGTGAGACAATTATTTGAACTTTAAAAACTGTGTGTTCTAAAATAAACAGAAGCACACTGATAAGAATCATTAAGTATTTAAAAAGTTATGAGAACAAATAAATCTGTTTAATATATTATGGTTTTATTTATTCTGCTACTATTAATACTTTATCTCATAAACATGAATGCAATGATTCTAAAATATAGAAACCATGGGCAGACCTGGGCTTCAGTCATTTACTTATAATAGATCTTGAATTATGTTACAATAGAGTTTGTTTTTAACTGTAAAGGCTGAATATTAAAAGGGTAAATAAAATGCTCACAATGTTTAAAGTAGCAAGATACTGAAAAACATATATAATACAGATATGAATATGTATTTTCATGAATGCTTTAAAATATTTGTGTTATTATTTTTCTTTATTTTTCCTCCTTATATCCTAAAATATAGTATCTAATATGAGAACGTTCAAGTTCCAAGAAAAGGAGGATAAAAAGATTAAATAAGAGGAAGCAGCCCGATAAAGTTTCTCTTACAGTATATATGCAAGAAAAATATGAAATTGTTTCATATTAGAAAAGAAAAGTACTTTTTCCACCAAAGGGGCATAAATATATATCGTGCTGTGCTTAGTCACTCAGTTGTGTCTGACTTTGACCCTATGGACTGTAGCCCGCGAGGCTTCTCGTCCATGAGATTCTCCAAGCAAGAATACTGGAGTGGGTTGCCATGTCCTGCTCCAGGAGATCATCCCAACCCAGGGATCAGACCAGGTCTCCCACATTGCAGGTGCATTCTGTACCATCTGAGCCACCAGGGGAGCCCAAATCACTGGAGTGGGGAGCCTACCCCTTCTCCAGGGGATCTTCCTGACCCAGGATTTGAACCAAGGTCTCCTGCATTGCAGGAGGATTCTTTACCAACTGAATTACCAGGGAGGCCCCCAAACATGTATTATGGGGTTGAATAATATAAAACCTACCAAGGAATATTATATCTCAGTCTGAAATATTAACTGAATATCTAAATACATTAACTAAAGAAACTGACAGATTTGTCAATTAAAGTTAAGCAAAAGATACCTAAGCAAAAGGTAACTCTAATGATGTAGCTGCATCTTAAAAAACTGGTATAGAGACATGAGAAATCTAAAGAAAACAAACCAAGTATTGGGAGCACCTGTAAGAATTATACACTTTCTACATTTTATATCTTCATTTCATTATTTTACTAATTATAATTTGTCTTGTAGTTTTATGTAGAATATCAGAGCATATTGCTAACACAGAAAACCCAAGATAATTTTGAAAAGTACTGATTTTTAAAGAGCAAAAATAAGAAATCTAAGGTATTAAGGAAAAAAATACTAACATTGGGTATTACAGCTAATTAAAATAATTTGAGTATATTTGAAACTCAGAAGGTGATAATTTAGAATAATTTGAATATATTTAAAGCTCAAAAAATGTCTGACTAGTCAAGCCCTAAATAATAATAAAGATGATGACAATGATAATAGTAATAATAATAATAATAGAGCCTCAATAAATATCTCAGAATAAATTTTCCATTTGTTGTGTATTAATTATGCAAAAGATAATTCAATAATACTTTAGGAAAAACTAGTCTGACAGAGTAAAAATTCAGCTTTGTTCTAATCAATATTAAATAACAAAAAGCAATTAGCATGGACTTTCATTACATTCATTTATAGAGAACTTACCTGGTTGGCAATCTGCCGAGCAAGGACATCCATCCTTGATCCTGATTCTGATATCATTTTAGCTGCATAGATCACATCAGTTGTATGCTTCAGTGGTCCTTTACCCCTTAAAGTAAAAGAATGCATGTTTGCTGCTGTGGTTCATGCTAAGACACAAATACACACCCAGATTTGCACCCTGAAGTGTAACTCATTGGCTTTCTATAATTCAATTTTAAACAGGCCCTGATTAGATTCCGGTATGATTTTTTTTTTTTATGAAGACCTATTGTGTTAAGACTCATGATATTCTGCCAAGAAGATGGACTCCATTTGATCTTCAGTCTCATGAGCTTCTTACAATAAACCTCAGCCTAAAGATACTTTTGTGGATGCAAATCCCATAAGGCAAAGATATTTTCCTTATTCTAGGAGGAAACATGAGATTTTGAACAATTTATATGATTGACAGTACATTTTGATTAGCAGGTATGCTTTTAATCCTCCTCTTTTTAATCCTTTTTTTATGGTCTTTTGTTTAAGTGCTCTCTATCAAATTTACTCGCCTCCACAATTAGTTCAAAGTAAAATCATAGTTGCTGTTGTTGTTCAGTCGGTCATTAAATTGTGTTCAACTCTTTGTGACCCCATGGACTGCAGCATACCAGGCTTCCCTGTGCTTCAGTGTCTCCCAGAGTTTACTCAAATTCATGTTTATTGAGTCACTGATACTATCTAACCATCTCATTCTCTGGCACACTCTTCTTCTGCCTTCAATCTTTCTCAGCATCAGAGTCTTTTCCAATGAGTCAGCTCTTTGCATCAGGTGGCCAAAGTATTGGAAGCTCAGCATCAGTTCTTCCAATGAATATTCAGGGTTGATTTACAACTGACTGGTTTGATCTCTTTGCTGTCCAAGGAAGTCCGAGGAGTCTGCTCCAGCATCACAATTCAAAAGCATCACTTCTTCGGTGCTTGGCCTTCAATTGGTCCAATTCTTATATCCGTATACGATTACTGGAAAACCACAGCTTTGACTATATGGACATTTGTCAGCAAAGTAGAGTCACATTACCTTGGACTGTTTCCCCACAACAGGCTGCTTCTTACTATTTGTGAGTCAAGCAAGATAAATATCTACTTCACATCTTAGTTACCTTGGTGATACATAATAGGAGTACCCACCACATGGAGTAATTCTAGGGACCACATGAGTTAATTTCTACAAAGTGCTCAGAAAACAGCTTTAAATGAAGTAAGCATTTTAATGAGCTTTTATTTTTGTGGTTGTTATTTTAAGATAGTTTTGTTTTCTAATGTCATGTAATAAAAGTTGGGTTTATTTAGGGATGTGCAACATAGTTAAGAAGAAGTGCACTTCTTAAATAGTTGGAGTGGAATAAGGAGACATTTTTCTGTCTTTTCATTCCTCAAAAATAAATGAATGACTGACCTGAATGAACATTACTGTTCCATCCACGTAAAACTATTCCTCTTATTTCCAATTTCTAATAATCTACTGAATGCCAACATGCTGGCGTTTCCAATTATGTGGTTTATGTTCTTTGTTCCTAGCAGAGAATAGGACCCTGAAGAAATCACTCACTAATGCAATTGTTTTGATGCTTTCCTGGGCACAAGAAGAGTGAGGAAGGTGAGAAGGAATAAGCTGGTCAGGGTGAGGAAAGGAAGATTCTGAGAGGCCAGAATACAATGGAATGGAAAAGAAGCAGAATGAAACTATTTGTCCAATACTTTATTTACAGTTTGTACCTATATTGAGGGTAGACGCCCTAATGCTAAATCTAATAAGATGTGTTGTTAGAGGAAAATCTCTGGTCACTTAAGAGACCATTCTATACTAATACAAGATAGTATTTCATGCAAAAGAAAATGATCAGAGTATTGTACACCAGGAAACCTGAACATCAAATCAATAGTAACTGGTATTTCCAAAAGACCCTTTCACTGAACTTTTTTTCATAGTGCCTCTCAAATTCATTATAAGCAAGTTTTCCTGTAAAAATTGAACATTACAGTTAAGATGATGCAAACCTGGCCTCAGGACATGGTTATCATCATACTTTTCCTCTTCGAATCTACCAACACAGGCTGCTTTGAATTTTTTCTAAAAAATCACTATTCATTATTATAATTTTTTGAGTTGTTCTTATCAAATTTCCTTTATACATCAGTCAGGATTAGATGTTATGTACATGTTTATGTTCAAGAAAGGCACTGCATTTCATTATGCCTATGCATCTCCAGAGAAAGTTAAACTTACATAAAGCTGTCTAAGTTCCCGAAAGGCAGTGCGTCAGTTTTCAAGGTCTTAAACAATGGACAAAGGTTGTTTCTAAGAAGAGCGGCTAATGTTCACTTAGCTTAAGCAATGGACAAAGCATTCTAACTAAGGATGTAGCTAATGTACCCTTCCCCTCAAAATAATATATTTCCTCATATAAAACCCTGGGCTGATGAAAAGGAAATTACCTCAAACTTTAAATACACACCTTGTTATGAGACCACTATCTTAAACATATGTAGAACTTAAAAGTAACAATAATATATTATGACAGACTACAATTATTCTCTTCCTCATGCTCCTAATTAAATGTATTGCCTGGCAAGCTTCCTACTGATTGCCAAACAAAATATACATTTTACAAAGGATTCCACATTATGCCAAGTTCCAGAGGAAGCAGCAATTACTGAAACTATGATAAATTTTTAACATTCTCAGCCTGAAATGTGCTACATAATGAAGGCTTTTTAAATTGGAAAATACATTCAAAGGTTGTTTTCTGCCTTCATTTTCATAATGGGTTCTCAGGATCTCCTGTCAGCAAATTATGTCTTAAATCATTGAGTTTGGATCGTACAAAGAAAGATACCCAGAGGAGGAGGGGGTAGACTCTGGAGATATTTTAAGGAGACCAGAGGCCAGAAATCTTTCGTAAATAGTGGCTACAATAATAATCTATCTCTTCAAAAAGGAGGGCAGATCAAGCTCTGGAGGAGACAGTTTACCAGCTAATCATTAAATTATATGTTAGAAGGTATAATGAGAAAGGCTGCAATAATCCAGTGATGTTGAGGCCATGGACAATTTTATTAATGCAAGTGAAAGGGATACCTTTTGAAACTTGATTTATTGGTGCAACACAAACCTCCCAGCCATTTTATATTTGGCCCCAACCTTGAGTCTCACTCCTCTCCTTGTCCTCTCTCAGATTTTGGCATCCATCCCCCTCCCCCTTTCTTTATCCTGATTAGTATGAGAAACAAGATGATATAGCTCATCAATAACAGTTCAATTAACTAGAAATCTGGTTTAATAATAGAATCATATCATAGAAATTTTGAGGACTTATTTTACCTTTTTAAGGGACAGAATGTCTTTGAAATGACTTGCATTTTCTGCTACTGATTAAAAATAAAACAAAAGGGTTAATTATATCTTTTGCACTTTGTAGACCCTAAATCTCTGAAGCTCCAATACTTTGGCCACCTGATGTGAAGGGCCAACTCGTTGGAAAAGATTCTGATGCTGGGAAAGGTTGAGAGCAGTAGCAGAAGGTGGCAACAGAGGATGAGATGGTTGGATGATGTCATTGACTCAATAGACTTGAGTTTGAGGAATATTGGGAAGACAGAGGAGCCTGGCATGCTGCAGTTTGTGGGGTCACAAACAGTTAGATACCACTTAGAGACTGAATAGCAATAACAAATTTTTGGTAACATAGTATCATTTCCTCTATGAAGACTGAAAACCTCCCCTTTAATTCTTTTTTCCCCTATCTTTATATAAAATAAAACTCATGACATTGTGGCTAACATAAGAGATGGAAACAAGTATATATGGTGATATACTATATATTATGATCCATAATAGTACTTAATACACTTAGTATTTTTTATGTGCTAGGTACTATCAGAGGAGAGTGAAAAAGCTGGCTTAAAACTCAACATTCAAAAAACTAAGATCATGGCATCTGGACTCATTGGAAAAGACCCTGATGCTGGAAAGATTGAAGGCAGGAAGAGAAGGGGACGACAGAGGATGAGATGGTTGGATGGCATCACCGACTCAATGCACGAGTTTGAACAAGCTCTGGCAGTTGGTGATGGACAGTGAAGCCTGGAGTGCTGCAGTCCGTGGGCTCATAAAGAGTCGGGCATGACTGAGCAACTGAAATGAACTCAACAGAAGGTACTATCCCAATGGAAGCCTGTGGCCCAGCTGTGAAGAATCCACTGGAGATGCAGGAGATGGTTTGATCCCTGGGTTGAGAATAACTCCTGAAGGAGGAAATGGCAATCCAGTATTCTTGCCAGGAAAATCTAATGGACAGAGGAGTCTGGCAGGCTGCAGTCCACAGGGTCACAGAGTTGGACGTGACTGAGCAACTGAACATACACACATGTGCTATCCCATACAAAGACTAATTTTTATAATAATCTATGAGTTTCAAATTATCCTTATCCTTATCTTACAGATGAGACATTTGAGGGATGGAGACATTAAATATATATTTTATCAAGTTACACAGCTAATAGGTATTGGAGACAGAATCTGAACTCATGCATTCTGGCCATAGAATCTTTTGTAATGACCAGTCTACACTATTTCCAATGAAATATATTAAGATGACACTGCTGCTGCTGCTACTGCTGCTGCTAAGTCGCTTCAGTCATGTCTGACTCTGTGCGACCCCATAGATGGCAGCCCACCAGGCTCCCCCATCCCTGGGATTCTCCAGGCAAACACACTGGAGTGGGTTGCCATTTCCTTCTCCAATGCAGGAAAGTGAAAAGTGAAAGTGACGTTGCTCAGTCGTGTCCGACTCCTAGCGACCCCATGGATTGCAGCCTACCAGGCTCCTCCGTCCATGGGATTTTCCAGGCAAGAGTACTGGAGTGGGGTGCCACTGCCTTCTCCAAGATGACACTAAAATATTTTAAAAGATCTCCTTAGACATTGGTGGGAGTTATCAAGATTGAAACAGAGAGCAAGAGGAGGGTTGGATTTAGATACTGGGTGGTAAGGTGGCTCCCCAACAGAGATTGGTTCCTACACAGCAACCTCAAGGAACACAAACCAAATCTGTGTTCTAGTCACAATAA